GAATTTGAACAGACACTGAAAATTTGCTTTCTTTGGAGAAATATTATAGTTGAGCCCGAGCGAGGGCGGCACCATCTTTGTTGTTGTTATTGTAAAGCTACGTGATCGCAACGCGAGGGGATTTCAGGCAAATCAGGAACTATCGCATGTGGCCAGCAAAACATGTTAATTTCTCCTTCCAGAAGCTAAGCTTGGTGTCTCTTTTGTTTAACACACCGAAGATATATCAAACCTGCGTATATAATCGTTTTTATTCGTTTCACTTTATCGTGAGTTACAAAAAACACGTTTTTAGTGGGGTAAATATTTCAAGTCGGCGATTTAGCCTGACCCTAGGCTGACTAAAAAAATCGGCTTGCGGAGGTATCATTTTAGTCGAGGTTCACGTCATTTAGTCGTAGTGCTAGTCCAAGTTCGTTTTAAGAATACGAAATGACGTAATTTTAAAGTTTTAGCTCGACTTAAGTTCGTTTTAAGAATACCGGGGTTAATAAAAACTTAGCACCTAATTCATTATTTGGTCACCTGTTTCTTATTTGTAGCCTGCGATACAAGCCTACATTAATAGAATATCTCAGCTTCAGAAGTTCGGAGATTTAAATTGAACGCAACTCCAGCAAACCATGACTTTATGATGGCACACATAAGGATCGCAAACATCGATAAAAACCCGGCTGCCGTCTCAACTTTCACTGGCCTTTGGCTGAATGTTTGTAAGAAATATACCAACCGGTAACGAAACCTGTCGCCGTCTACCTAGAGTAAATGGTGCCACCAAACGAAGCTAAACTTTTGCGACTTAATCCACCAAATGCAGATAAAGTTTTGCGACGTAATCACCTGATTGTGGATTGTGTGGTTAGTAAATTCCATAGCCATACTGTCCATAGCGCACGCTAAAATGTGCTGATAGAGCAATTTGGGGAAATTTACTCTCCTTTTTTCCATCCCAAACAAAATATTATTAATAAATCAACATGGTCCATCTCAGTCATCATAGCCAGTCACAAAATTAGGCTAGGAAGTTTGTTTTCAACAGCAGACACACACTACAGAACGGAATGCGTCAAAACGAGTGTTTGTTAATTTTTAGTCATAAAGAATCTTGAAACTTCGTAAAATAACTGACTTTTTTTCGTCCGCTTGCAAAAAAGAAAACGACAGATACCTAGTCCTTTAAGGTGGGTTATTGATTTCAAAATCAAAATAGCCTAGCCTAGATCTTCACTAGCTAGGTTCGCTCCTAGTTCATTTAGAGACAGGATTATACCCCGACGACAACAAACTAGTGTAGGCCTAGGCCTAAGAACAGTAGGACGTACTACAGGAACTAGGCCCAGGCTTTTGTAGTAAAAGTTGAAGTGCATGTACAGTATGTGCCATAGGCCTATATTAAAAAAATATACATTTTGTTAATTATTATATGTTGGCCTGGGACCTAGGCAGGCATGCCAGCTTTACCGTCGAAAGTCCTGGGATTCGACGATGACATCAGTGCACGTTTACAAACACCATTGATTAGAATGACAACAGACGTGCTGAATTTCGTTTTTTTTTTTTTGGAAAGATAGAATTTATCGAACATATATCTATATCGTTGGGAGCCGCACGTCCTTCAGGCGACAGGAGATTTTTCGATTTTTTGACTCCTGAACCATCATGCCAAATGAATAAAATAAAAATAAAATATAAATACAAGATTAATATTGTAGAAATTGTATTTCTAAAGATGCATATACAGTAATTCATATTTCATTTGGTAGACAATAAATATTCAGTAAGATATACTAAAAAACAATTATTAATTCTGAAATGTGCATCAAATCTCAGCTATTATTAATCAGTATGATTACGTTAAAAGTCTTTAAATAATAATTTCGAATTAGGCCTAGTACTGTATATAACAAATAATTGTAAAGTTTAGGTTCTCATGAAGTCAGATGACTTATTGAATATGATGCTATATTTTGGGCTCTGATTTATTTTAACGATGGCCCTGTCAGTAAATGACAATATTTGTGCTTTTTTTTTAGCCATGTAGTAAAATAGTACTATTATTTTCAGTGAACAAAATGAGAGTCAAGAAGAAGTTGTAGAAGAAGAAGAATAGGAAGAGGAGGAAGAAGAATAGCTTTTTTTTTTGTTTTATAATAATAAATGTGTTGAGTATATTGATTATGCATGAGGTTTTTTTATATCTTTCGGTGTGATTTATACATTCTAATTCTCAGAAAATTTTTCTAATTTTATTATATTATTACCTTTTTATTACATTGATCTTTTTCAAAACATAACTGCATAACATTATACAGTATAGACCCATTAAACACAAAAACCTCTCTGGCTTCAGGGGATTCGTCCCCGACCCCATCGTGGCCATTAGGCAGGCCCCTGGACCCCACGCCAAGACAACCAACCCCCCCCCCCCTTGAAATGACCTGGCTACGGGCCTGGGTTAAGTATTATATTATACACGTTTGTTATTATATTATGTTTAGTATTGTATTATTTACGTTTGTTATTATATTATGTATGTTTAGTATTATGTTATTTACATCTATTATTACATTATGTATGTTGTTATTATTATGTCGTTCATTTATTATTATATTATAATTATGTACATTCATTATTATTTTGTTTAATTCACTATTTTATTATCTCCTTCCTTATTATATTATACACATTCACTATTATTCTATTGCAGTTCACTTGTATGGCAGTTGAGTAGCATGAGTATATTATGGCAGTTGAATAGTATATTATGGCTGTTCATTATGTTGTTATACTATAACTGCTTATATTTCCTGTACAGAGGATTGTGGGCTGGCTGTTAGTAGGGTTAGTAGCCCCTGGAAGCTCTGGCGCATATAGCCTTTTTTAATTTAAAATAGAATTGGGCCCAGAGAGGGACTTTTACAGAATGAGAGTGTAGACCGCCTTAGCCCCATGGTTGGGGCTTAGGTAAGAAAATTTATGATTATGGCACCTCTAGTTGGTCGGAAATGGCACTCTAAGACTGAATTTGAATATAATTTTAATTTTTTTTTTCCACTTTTAAATTTCGAAAAAAAAAAATATACGGATGGTGGGATGGCTGGGCCCCTTGAATCTGCCACTGAAATACTCATCATAAAAAAGTTTTTAAAATTATCCTTTTAGTCATAATTATGCCCGCGTATGTATTTCGTGCAAACTAACCTTTATAAAAATAATGATTTATTATCTACTGATTAGCTTGTAACGTATTCAAAATTCGAACCATGAAAAACAAATAAGATAAATTTAAAAAAATCATTAATTTAGTCTTTTTGCATGTACAGTACTTTTAAAATCAATCAAGAGGTTTTTGCTTTTCTCCTTTTTTTAAAGTTCACTTTTGTGTAAGTAATATTGCGACTACACAAGTTAGCATTTTGATTTCAAAAACATAAGGGTGATTTACTTAATTTATCATTATCAGTGGCGGCTCCAGGAAAGCAAATTAGAGGGGGGACAGGAAGAGACTTGCACAATTTTGGAAAGTAGATCACCTCAGCCCCACCATGGTTGGGGCTGAGGAAAGAAAATTTATGATTATACACCTCTGATTGCCGGAAATGGAACTCTCAGACCTAAATTCTAATTATAATTGGTGATCTGCTTCTCAAGCGGATCACCTCTTGTTAATGTCAGATCTATTTGTATTCTACCTTTCCTTCCATTTCTGTTCGCACGATATCTCAAAATTGCCACGAGCTACGCACAATCGCACTTCAACGAACATTTGGCTTGGGTATCATAAAGGTTCCTTTGCTTAAAAAAGCATAGGAACCAAAAAATATAGTTTAGAATTCAGAGACATTTAAAAAGCCCTACATTTAAATTTTGCCTGATTATTGGATTTTATCAAGATCCATGGGTTTCTCATACTGAAGAAAATGATCTGATTTGATATACTGAACTTTTTGAGGAGAAATAGTATTTGACTAAAATTAAAATTTAGATTCTATGAAACCTAATTAAAGTAATGAAAAGAGTACTGTACACCAAGTAAGCCTATAGACTTAGCCTTACTTCCTAGGCCTTGCAGGTGATCAAAGGGCCAACCTCTCTCAAAACCATCCGTGTCGTAAATCACATACTGTAGTAACGTTATGGGTGGGGCCTCGAGAATAATCGTAACAGGGCAAAAATCATTTAAACGTGATATCTATAATACTTTCATTCCCCAGGAATTAACAAACAATGAGATGGTTGAAGTTTATTGCCCGCTTTTTAACCAATCAGATACTTAGAATTATGTATGCGGTTTATAAAAATAAATACATATACTGAACTTTTTTTGCAAGGTGCAAAACTATAGACGGAGCTAGAGCCTCAATGACTCTGAATACTTCTTACACCATAAATTAGTTGTTATACTGTCTAAAGTAAATTACTTCAACATTTATTTCCATGTCACTGCCCCTGACTGCCAGAGGTGATGGATGCTATGAAACTGCAATTGGGATACTTACTTGTTTGAGAACATGTACTAGAAATACCATCAACAGCAAAATCAGCAGAATAATCACTACTGGGACTATCAGTTGAAGACTGACTTGCCGACTTGCCCATTGAAACAACTGCTGCTGTTATATAAAAATAATATTTTCAAACATTTTTTTACAAATTGAGAAATACAAATGAATTAAATAAATGGCTACTTTTGATAACAGGAAATTAATAAACAAAGAAAAATGTCTCGTTTATAAAAATTTAAACCCAAACCAAACCACATGTTTTCATCCTATTTTTATTTTGGAAATCCAAGCTCTTTTAGTAAACTAGCTAAAAAATACACATTGAAAATTAACAATGGTGTAGACATGGTGAATCCCAACATAATCAGTGAGTACGGCATTAGCACACTTTATGATAGGGCTTTTGAAACCAATGACACTCAAAGGTTCTCAAAATGATTGGTGACACCAAAGCATACAACTTGTTATTAAATTTTGTATGTCAATAACTCAAAATACACTTTAATTATTATTTGAAAAAAGCAAGTTTATAATAGGAAATTTTTCATGGCTTTTTTAGGCAGTTAACAGTTTATATTAAAGAAGTGAGTTTCGGCATAGGGCTGTGGCAGAAAATAAATGTTTGACATTAGTGGAGGAGCTACAGTAACTCTTTGAGCCATAAATATTTTAAGAATTTTTCAGATGTCACTGACCTGAATTATAAAATTTTTATTACAATAGATCTGTAGGTGTATGCAAGGCCGCCAGGCCCTAAGAGTGGAGTGTTACTACGCTTTCATTAAGGCATACACGTCAATGCTCACGCATTTGGCGTGAGACTCCCCCATTTGCAATTTATTTCATGCTCTCATAAATGTAATATTGCATATAAAAAAAAAATGTGTGTATATTTTGTTATTCTTTTGCTAAATATGTATCTATCATTAAAGTGCTTAAAATAGGATGGTTTTGTCGTTACACATTCAAACACAAGTAAATGGTGGCACACCACACCCTGGTTGAGGTGGTAATTGGCTTTCTATTTCAACCTTCTCGAAAATAAATTTTGATAAGGGTCAGTAAATATTTGAAAATCTATTTTTTTTTTTTTAGATTACATTAAAACTTCCTGTAGCAAAACAGAATATGTTGTTCTTTTACAAGGCACTGTCAGTATCGTCGGATAAGATAACAGAACACACTACCAACCGCTACACGCTAGGTTATGCGAGTGTGACAGGTTCATGGATGGCAGAAACATGTATTCTCTGGAAAATAATGCGGATTCTTAACCTATTTTCAGCTGTAAAAATACTAGCCTAAAGAATGTATTTCTGAGCATCTAGAAGATCTTTCCTGAGGGGGGGGGGGCATACCTACAACCCCTAGGGGAGGGGTTTTTAAAATAAAATCTCCCGCCTGCAAATTGGTCTAATTTGGCATCTATGTTTAAAAAAAGGGCCAGGATATAGGCCTATGAAATGCTATACTGGCCCAGGCTAGCTACTGTATGCTTAGGATGGTTCGCGGCCGAAACGGATGGCATTCTCCATACCGTACCTCGGCCATGCTAAGGCTAGCCACCCGTACAGAGTTAGCTAGGGTAGGGCTAGTTAGGGCCTTCCATGGGAAGTAACAAACTAGGCCCTAGCTTAGGCTAGGTAGGCCTATAATACCTAGTCCTAGTAGTAGTAGTAGTATCCTAGTTAGTAGTATGCGCGCAACTGATTAACTTACATTGTTGGGTTAAAGAGATGGACAATTTGCTTAATAGTAGTAACAACAACAGTGATAATCTTTCGTAGAAAATCTCCATATTATCAGGTTCATCAAATATAGGCCTATATCAAACTAAATGCATAATATTATAAACCAGACTCACTCTATCTGTTCAGGTTTAGGAACAGTTATCTCTGTTCTCTCTACCAGCTACCTTTGATTGTTTATTTTTTGTTTCCGGGTGTAGCGCCCTCTAAATTTCAGCAGTATTAACAAGGTACAGTAAAACCCGGTAAACAAAGATCTATAACTAATCACTATGATCTTTGGTAATAATAATAATTTGGATCTACACTTTTTCATCTGTGGCACACTGTAGTACGTCCAGAATATTCAATGAAAAACAAAGTAAACAGAGGGAACTTAAAGTAAATATCACCGACAGGCGGACAGCTGCGGCGGAAAAGTCCTTGGTTAACAGCCGAGTGATGGGGGTGGGGGGAGGGAGGAGTGGAGACATAGAAATACTTTTGGAGTTAATACCGTATTTCCAGGAAATTAAATGATAACATAGACATGGACATAGACGTAGACATAAATAGCTTTATTCGTCATGATTTTAAAATATAATCTCATGAAAATTGTTTTCCTTAAGGCAGCGGACAAAATTCAAGAATGAATTTAAAACTTGACCACAAGCAAAAGATAGGCTTACATCTAAAATAGGCCTATACAATATTAAAAATATATAAACAACTAAAAAGATGATGACATAACTGCACAAACTCGCTAAAATCCTTACTTATATCAATGCCTAATTGAATTATCAATGCCCAATTAATTTGCCAATAAAAATAATGACAATGATGATAATATAGGCCTACCAAAATTTTGGGAAAACGCCGACGTTTTGCAATTAATTGCGTAAGAAATGATAATCCAATTCAGCTTTATGAAACGTAGGGATAACCTCTCATACTTCCTCAGCAAACAAATAGGCAGGTCTTCCAATCCTTGATGAGCCAAACGGACGGAAATGATGAAAATCAAATCACAACACATTTTAAGAAAAGAACTAAGGATTTAATTGTAAATATGTTTCGGGTGTTCTCTCCGACACATCATCAGTACAACAGTGGCGGCTCAGGATATATTTTCTGGGGGGCTAAGTTGTCCGACAGGGGGAACTTGAGCTAGTAGGCTCGAGCTGGGAGAGGGTTGAGAGGGGGTTCCCCCTCCCAAATGAGATTTTTTTTAAAGAATATCAACCTCGAGATGGTCGAAAATGACTCTCAGACTGTGACAGACATGTGTTGGCTTGGTGTGCCTATTTTTATATGTTTTATGGTCTGACTGCCCGACGAGCTCTGTCCGGCGGGTGTGGGGGTATTGACCTGTCCGGTGGGGGGCTTAAGCCCCCCCCCCCCCACTGCCACACCGCTGGCGCCGCCACTGCAGTACAAACAGAACTAAAAAAAAAACTCGCCATTCTTAATTAAGTGTATACAAAGAATTGAATGAATGAATGAATATTAATTAGTAAACCAAAATGTTACCAATTAAGGTAACGAACGATCGTTCTAGATAATCATATGCAAGGTGTATAGAACACCTTGCATACATTAGTGCTGTATGCTAATCGAAAGTTGTAAGCTTAGTGTTTGAGTTTTATTAAACGTTTCATTAAAGTCCGGCAGCTAAGCAGATGGATGTCGACATTACAGACAAAACACCATTTTTTTTACATGCTCCTTATGGTTATAGCATTCAATTTTTGGTAGGAACCACCTCATCAGAGGTCATTATGGCGGCCATCTTGAATTTCAAAATGGCCGCCTAATAAAACCTACGTTTATTGATATCTCTTCTTCTAAACCACTTGGAATTATGATTCTAATGTCTGAAACTATTTTTATATGGTCAAAGAATACCATCATACCATTTTTTCCATGGTCAGATTGCCACAAATAGGTCATTTAAGGTAATTTAAGGTCAAATATTGTATGGTATCTTAAAAATTACATAATTGTCGTATTTTACATTAGAACCATACTCAGACTCTCAGAATTCAAAATCTTTACTTTTAACTACAATATTTCATTCGAGGTCATTCTGGCGGCCATCTTGAATTTCAAAATTATTGCCAAGCAAATCCTATATTTAACAATATATCGGTTTTTAAACCACTTTAATGAGAATTATGATATCTAAAATTATATTTCATGGTCAAGGATTTATAACACTTTTGACATGGACATATGGTCATTAAGTTCATAAAAGGTCATTTAAGGTCATTCAATGTATATACCATACCATTACCATTTTTACCTGGTCAGATTGCCACGAATAGATCATTTAAGGTCATTCAAGATCAAAATATTGTATGGTACCTTAAAAATTACGTAACTCATGTTTTACATTAGAACATTAGAATCATATCCATACTCTCAGAATTCAAATGTTTCACTATGAAATTGACAAATACCTATTGACAATTTTTCTATATATATACATATAAATCATCAAAGAAAGGTAAATACAGTGTTCGAATAGAGGACATAATAAATACATCGTGTAGCATAGCTCTCAACGAATATATATATATATATATATATATATATATATATATATACAGTTGACATTATAATATATATTTTATGACGGATTAACAATATTTTAAATTAATTTTCAATTAGCTGACTATGAAAGCTAAACGTCTACAGGACATTATATTTAGGCGCATATATAATATAAAAACAAATAATAGAAAACAATATTAATTTATATACTTATTTAATTTAATAGACCAATGGGATAAACCCAAGAGGAAAATCTGATCAGAATGAAAAGGAAACCTTGCCTCCACCAGGACTCAAACTCCGCACCTTTTTCTTAACGTGCAAAGGTCTTACCAACTCAACCACATAGACCTGTGGTCGAGATGCATATTTATATATTACAACATTATTATTATTCTATCTTTTAACTAGTATTGTATTTATATATTACTACACAGCAAAGTACTTTAATTTATATATAACATAGTCTGTATACTTATATACATATATAGGCATTTCATAGAATCTTGCCACTGTTCTGATTATTTAATAACAATCCGAGAAGATGTATTATTAAGATGTCATACAATATTGATATTAAATGACCTATTTATGACCATAATTATCTGACCATGTCAAAACATTTTTTTTTAGTGGGGGTAACCCAAAATTTTTTCATCCTTTTTAATTTAAATAAACACATACTGTACCACGGTATGCAATAGATTTTGAATATAATAAATACAAAATATTATTTAAATTTCATGAAAGTAATATCATCATAGTGTGAGCAAAACATTATTGCATA